GTACTTCTTGACTATATAAGTCCCTTTAACATTTGTTGTAAAGTGGTTTGGTGGTACTCGATTCTCTTAACTTTTGCTTGTCTGAGAAGCTTTTTATTTCTCCATCAATTCTGAATGAGATCCTTCTTGGGTACAGTAATCTTGGATGTAGATTTTTCCCTTTCAGTACTTTAAATATATCCTGCCATTCCCTTCTGGCCTGCAGAGTTTCTGCTGAAAGATCAGCTGTTAAGCACATGGGGTTTCCCTTGTATGTTACTTGTTGCTTCTCCCTTGCTACTTTTATTATTCTTTCTTGTGTTTAGTCTTTGTTAGTTTGATTAGTATGTATATTGGTGTGTTTCTCCTTGGGTTTATCCTATATGGGACTCTTTGTGCCTCTTGGACTTGATTGACCATTTCCTTTTCCATGTTGGGGAAGTTTTCTTTTTTTTTTTTTTCCATTTATTTTTATTAGTTGGAGGCTAATTACTTTACATCATTGCAGTGGTTTTTGTCATACATTGAAATGAATTAGCCATGGATTTACATGTATTCCCCATCCCGGTCCCCCCTCCCACCTCCCTCTCCACCCGATCCCTCTGGGTCTTCCCAGTGCACCAGGCCCGAGCACTTGTCTCATGCACCCAACCTGGGCTGGTGATCTGTTTCACCCTAGATAATATACATGTTTCGATGCTGTTCTCTTGAAACATCCCACCCTCGCCTTCTCCCAGAGTCCACAAGTCTGTTCTATACATCGGAGTCTCTTTTTCTGTTTTGCATATAGGGTTATCGTTACCATCTTTCTAAATTCCATATATATGTGTTAGTATACTGTAATGGTCTTTATCTTTCTGGCTTACTTCACTCTGTATAATGGGCTCCAGTTTCATCCATCTCATTAGAACTGATTCAAATGAATTCTTTATAATGGCTGAGTAATATTCCATGGTGTATATGTACCACAGCTTCCTCATCCATTCGTCTGCTGATGGGCATCTAGGTTGCTTCCATGTCCTGGCTATTATAAACAGTGCTGCAATGAACATTGGGGTGCACGTGTCTCTTTCAGATCTGGTTTCCTCAGTGTGTATGCCCAGAAGTGGTATTGCTGGGTCATATGGCAGTTCTATTTCCAGCTTTTTTTTTTTTTTTTTTTTTTTTTTATTTCCAGCTTTTTAAGAAATCTCCACACTGTTTTCCATAGTGGCTGTACTAATTTGCATTCCCACCAACAGTGTAAGAAGGTTCCCTTTTCTCCACACCCTCTCCAGCATTTATTGCTTGTAGACTTTTGGATAGCAGCCATCCTGACTGGTGTGTAATGGTACCTCATTGTGGTTTTGATTTGCATTTCTCTGATAATGAGTGATGTTGAGCATCTTTTCATGTGTTTTTTTGCCATGCGTATGTCTTCCTTGGAGAAATGTCTGTTTAGTTCTTTGGCCCATTTTTTGATTGGGTCATTTATTTTTCTGGAGTTGAGCTGGAGGAGTTGCTTGTATATTTTTGAGATTAATCCTTTGTCTGTTGCTTCGTTTGCTACTATTTTCTCCCAATCTGAGGGCTGTCTTTTCACCTTGCTTATAGTTTCCTTTGTTGTGCAAAAGCTTTTAAGTTTCATTAGGTCCCATTTGTTTATTTTTGTTTTTGTTTCTAAAATTCTGGGATGTGGGTCATAGAGGATCCTGCTGTGATTTATGTCGGAGAGTGTTTTGCCTATGTTCTCCTCTAGGAGTTTTATAGTTTCTGGTCTTACATTTAGATCTTTAATCCATTTTGAGTTTATTTTTGTGTATGGTGTTAGAAAGTGTTCTAGTTTCATTCTTTTACAGGTGGTTGACGAGTTTTCCCAGCACCACTTGTTAAAGAGGTTGTCTTTTTTCCATTGTATATCCTTGCCTCCTTTGTCAAAGATAAGGTGACCATAGGTTCGTGGATTTATCTCTGGGCTTTCTATTCTGTTCCATTGATCTATATTTCTGTCTTTGTGCCAGTACCATACTGTCTTGATGACTGTGGCTTTGTAGTAGAGCCTGAAGTCAGGCAGGTTGATTCCTCCAGTTCCATTCTTCTTTCTCAAGATTACTTTGGCTATTAGAGGTTTTTTGAATTTCCATACAAATTGTGAAATTATTTGTTCTAGTTCTGTGAAAAATACCATTGGTAGTTTGATAGGGATTGCATTGAATCTATAGATTGCTTTGGGTAGTATAGTCATTTTGACAATATTGATTCTTCCAATCCATGAACACGGTATATTTCTCCATCTGTTGGTGTCCTCTTTGATTTCTTTCATCAGTGTTTTATAGTTTTCTATGGATAGGTCTGTTGTTTCTTTAGGTAGATATACTCCTAAGTATTTTATTCTTTTTGTTGCAATGGTGAATGGTATTGTTTCCTTAATTTCTCTTTCTGTTTTCTCATTGTTAGTGTATAGGAATGCAAGAGATTTCTGTGTGTTAATTTTATATCCTACAACTTTACTGTATTCGTTGATTAGCTCTAGTAATTTTCTGGTAGAGTCTTTAGGGTTTTCTATGTAAGGGATCATGTCATCTGCAAACAGTGAGAATTTTACTTCTTCTTTTCCTATCTGGATTCCTTTTATTTCTTTTTCTGCTCTGATTGCTGTGGCCAAAACTTCCAAAACTATGTTGAATAGTAGTGGTGAGAGTGGGCACCCTTGTCTTATTCTGATTTTAGGGGAAATGCTTTCAATTTTTCACTATTGAGGATAATGTTTGCTGTGGGTTTGTCATATATAGCTTTTATTATGTTGAGGTATGTTCCTTCTATTCCTGCTTTCTGGAGAGTTTTAATCATAAATGGATGTTGAATTTTGTCAAAGGCTTTTTCTGCATCTATTGAGATAATCATATGGTTTTTATCTTTCAATTTGTTAATGTGGTGTATCACATTGATTGATTTGCGGATATTAAAGAATCCTTGCATTCCTGGGATAAAGCCCACTTGGTCATGGTGTATGATTTTTTTAATATGTTGTTGGATTCTGTTTGCTAGAATTTTGTTAAGGATTTTTGCATCTATGTTCATCAGTGATATTGGCCTGTAGTTTTCTTTTTTTGTGGCATCTTTGTCTGGTTTTGGAATTAGGGTGATGGTGGCCTCATAGAATGAGTTTGGAAGTTTACCTTCTTCTGCAATTTTCTGGAAGAGTTTGAGTAAGACAGGTGTTAGCTCTCCTCTAAAGTTTTGGTAGAATTCAGCTGTGAAGCCATCTGGTCCTGGGCTTTTGTTTGCTGGAAGATTTCTGATTACAGTTTCAATTTCCTTGCTTGTGATGGGTTTGTTAAGATCTTCTATTTCTTCCTGGTTCAGTTTTGGAAAGTTATACTTCTCTAAGAACTTGTCCATTTCTTCCAAGTTGTCCATTTTATTGGCATAGAGCTGCTGGTAGTAGTCTCTTATGATCCTTTGTATTTCGGTGTTGTCTGTTGTGATCTCTCCATTTTCGTTTCTAATTTTGTTAATTTGGAAATTTTAACTATAATCTCTTCAAAAATTTTCTCATACCCTTTCTTTTTCCCTTCTTCTTCTGCGACCCCTATAATTCGAATGTTGGTGCATTTGATATTGTCCCAGAGGTCTCTGAGACTATCCTCAGTTCTTTTCATCTTTTTACTTTATTCTGTTCTTCAGAAGTTATTTCCACCATTTTATCTTCCAGCTCATGGATTCGTTCTTCTGCTTCAGATATTCTGCTATTGATTCCTTCTAGAGTATTTTTAATTTCAGTAATTGTATTGTTTGCCACTGCATGTTTATTCTTTAATTCTTCTAGGTCTCTGTTAATTGACTCTTGCATTTTCTCCATTTTGTTTTCAAGGTTTTTGATCCTCTTTACTATCATTATTCTGAATTCTTTTTCAGGTAGTTTGCTTATTTCTTCTTCATTTATTTTGACTTCCGTGTTTCTGGTTTGTTCCTTCATTTGTGTAGTATTTCTCTGTATTTTCTTTTTTTTTTAAACTTATTGTGTTTAAGGTCTTCTTTTCCCAGCCTTCAAGGTTGAATTCTTTCTTCCTTTTGGTTTCTGCCCTCCTAAGGTTGGTCCAGTGGTTTGTTTAAGCTTCGGATAGGGTGAGATTTGTGTTGAGTTTTTGTTGTTGTTGTTTGTTTATTTGTTTGGTTTTCCTCTGATGGGCAAGGCTGAGTGAGGTGTAATCCTGTCTGCTGCTTATTGGGTTTGTATTTTTGTTTTGTTTGTTGTTTAGATGAGGCGTCCTGCACAGGGTGCTGCTGGTGGTTGGGTGATGCCAGGCCTTGTATTCAAGTGGTTTCCTTTGTGTGAGTTCTCACTATTTGATAGTCCCTAGAGTTAGTTCTCTGGGAGTCTAGGGTCTTGGAGTCAGTGCTCCCACTCCAAAGGCTCAGGGCTTGACCTCTGCTCAGGAACAAAGATTCCACAAGGGGTCTGTTATGGCATTAAGTGAGATTAAAACAAACACCCCCCCAAAAAACCAAATACCCCAAAACAATAAACCAAAGATGAACCTCAGACAAATGACAGTTACAAAATCAAGCAAATAATAATTAAAATAATGGCATACACACATATACATATACACCCATGAGCAAAGTCAAAACAGTTCAACAAAAATAAAGTACAACAAATTGATGTGGCGAACAAAAGAAACAAATTATATTAACCAGTTAAGAACAAAACTAACTAAAGCACAAACTGGAAAACAAAACTAAAGCAAGGTGCCAACTGGGGAATAAAGCAATGAAAACAAAACTAACACATATGTTGAGAGGAATGGAAAGAAAGAATAGATATGCAAAGTTAAACAGAGGTAGGTGAAGAAGATTTATATCCATTAAAGATTAACTGCAAGGGGAAAAGAACAGTAGGAAAGGCAAACAAAGAAATAAATGTAGAAAAAAAATGTAATAGGTTTAAAAAATTGAAATTAGGCCAGAACAAAATGCGAGTGAGGGGAGCGGCAGTGGCTGCAGCAGGGCCAAGGGGACGTGTGTGCAGTGGTGTCGCCATGTCTCATGGCCACATTCACCGCGGGGCCGGGTGCCACTGTGCTGCCAAATGGGGGGAGCCGCCAGAGCAGCGCAGCCCAGCCTACGGCCTGTACCTGCGCATCAACCTGGAGCGGCTGCAGTGCCTCAATGAGAGCTGTGAGGGCAGTGGCCTCCTCATCTTCAAGCTGCGAGAGGAGCGGACAGACGGCTCCAAGTTTGTTGAAAATGATGCAGATGAACAGCTTCTGTTTAATATTCCACTTACAGGCAATGTCAAGCTCAAAGTCATCATTATAATGGGAGAAGATGATGACTCACAGCCCTCTGAGATGAGACTGTACAAGAACATTCCACAGATGTCCTTTGATGATATAGACAGGGAGCTAGATCAGACCTTTAGTCTGAACCCAGATCTTACGGGGGAAGAGTATACTACAGAAATGTCTTGTTTTCCAAATGTCTATCCTTTCTCAATTCATAGTTCAAAAAACTTTGGAGCCGATACCACAAAGGTCTCTTATATTGGCCTGAGAGGAGAATGGACTGAGCTTCGCCGACATGAGGTGACCATCTGTGATTATGAAGCATCAGCCAATCCAGCCAACCACAGAGTCCATCAGGTTACCCCACAGACACATTTTATTTCCTAAGGGCTGGCCAAGACTCCCACAGAGGCATTGTCAGTGAAGACGTATGACATCCTGCTGGGAAGGACAAAGAGAGATGTAGCTCCAAAGAGAGCTGGCTGCCACAGCCTCTTTCGAGCTTTGTCTCTGCAGAAACCTTGCTGCAGAAACCTGACCTGTAGAAGTCACCACATCCCCAGGAAGGGTTGTATGGGTGCCAGGGGACAACTGTGGTTCTCTGGGACCCTACAGAAACTGGGTCTTGGACTGGGCAGTATCTGGCAGCCATGGATAATGCCTGCCTTCCCAGTTTAAGTGGCTAGGGGATCCCCACTGTCTTGCTGTTTTGTGGCAGGATCATTGTGTGACTTGTTTTTTAAAATGGAAGCTATTCCTGGGCTGCAGTAAACTTTCTGAAGCCTCAGCATTGTGTTTGCCTTAACCATCAGGAGGGTCTCCAGCTAGAAATACTTGGCCCTGATTGCTCCTTCTCCCTGTCATCTTTCAACATTCTTGTCAAATTGCCCAGCTTGGAGTTGTCTGTCATGCACCAGTGTCCCACATTATAGCTTGAAGAACAGGAATCTCCTGATGTTGGTTTATAGCTTGAGAGGGTCTTTTCCCCCTCTTGCCCAGGTAAGCAGTCTGAGGAGAGCATGGGCATTGTTTCTGTGTTTGTGGGTATCCTGGTCAGGGTAAGATTGGGAGTTTGATATGCTTCTCTTTGGGACATCCTTAATGTTTATCAGCTTCTAACTAGTGTTGTAAGCCCAGTGGCAGAATTTGGAGATCTCAGTTCTTCTGTTCATGGCTTTTTATTCACTGTGACTAATAAGCTTCCTAATAAATCCTTGCCAGACTTAAAAAAAATTAAAATTATAAAAAAGAGAAAAGAAAAAAAAAAGGAAGAAGAAAGAAAAAAAGAAAACTCCACGGAACTGCAAAAGCCCAATGTATAGGCAGAGGTTTATAGCAACAATAAAAAGTGTGACTTAATATACACATATACAATATACACTCATACGCAAAATAAAAACAATCCAACAAAAATAAAGTACAACAGATTGACCTGGCGAACAAAGGAAACCAAAAATTATATCTATCAGTTAAGAACAAAACTAATTAAAGCACAAACTGGAAAACAAAACTAAAGCAAGGTGCCAACTGGGGTATAAAGCTATGAAAATAAAACTAACAAATATGTTGAGAGGCAAGGAAAGAAAGAAAAGAAAGAATAGATACACAAAGTTAAACAGAGGTAGATAAAGAAGATTTATATACATTAAAGACTAACTGGAAGGAGGAAAGAACAGTAGGAAAAGCAAACAAAGGAATAAATGTATAAAAAATAACAATAAGTTTAAAAAATTAAAAATTAAAACAAGAGAAAATTAAAAAAAAAAAAAAGGAAAACTCCGAAGAACTGCAAAAGTCCAACTGAGAGGCAGAGATTTATAACAACAATAAAAAATGTGACTGAGGAGAAAAAAAAAAAGCTCAAAAGCTTAATTAGATTTCACAGTGCCAATAAAATCAACAACTACAACAGAGAGGGGGGAAAAGGACAAAAAAAAAAAATCCAAAAGAATCTACAGAACAAATCAAACCATAAGAATAATATATGTTTTTCTTGAGTCACAGCTGTCAAGAGTCCTTTCCCTTGTGGGGAGTCACAGTCCACCTCACCTCCCTAGGATGCCCTCCAACACCGTGTTGGTCTCTGGACCTGCTGTGGGGACAACTCAGATTCTAATCTGGTCCTACTCCTCTGTGTTCTTGCCTCCAATGTCCACAGCTATCACTAGTGCAGTTTCTTTGGTGGGAGCTCTCAGTGACCTTTTATATATTCCAAAGACACAGAGTCTGCCTAGTTGATCGTGTGTATTTAATCTGCAGCTTGTACAGCTGGTGGGAAGGTTTTGGGTCTTCTTCCTTAGACACACTGCCCCTGGGTTTCAGTTGTGGTTTTATTTCCACCTCTGCATGTGGTTTGTCCACTGGGGTTTGCTCCTGAGGCTGCCCTGGAGGACTTGGGTTTGCCCCTGTGAGGGCCAGGTGTGGAGGTGGTGCAGCTGCTTGGGTTACAGGGGTTCTGGCAGCGCCAGGTACTCAGGGGGGTTGGTGTCTAGGGCAGAAGGAAATAGAATGCTCTAGAAGGGTATGGCAACCAGTATTGGCCAATATGCTCCAGTATTCTTGCCTGGAGAACCCCACCTCCCTGACAGAGAAGCCTGGCAGGCCACAGTCTACGGGGTCCCAAAGAGCCAGACACGACCAAAGTGATCCTGCGCACATAGGCACAAGACTATTTTTGCCTGTGGCAGCTCTGCCCCAGTGAGTTGAGCGTGAAGGTGGCCAACTACTTGGCCTGCAGGGACCCTGGCGGCGCCAAGCGTGCAGGGACATGGACTGCCTCTGCTGCAGGAGTCATGGCCCTGTCAGAGTCTTTTTTCGAGCCACTTGTAGCTGGTGATTAGAAGGCCTCTTTGGCCAGTCTTTCTCTGTAGCTCCGCCCATTTGGGCACTTAAGAGGCTCCCTTGCCTGGGCCCTTCTCGGTTTGGTGCACCAGGCATATAGAGGGGCCCCCCGGCTGGGGTCCTACACTGTGGATCTGCATGTCGTCACTTAAAGGGGCACCCTGGGTGGGGTCCTACTCTATGGTTAGGTGCATCAGTCACTTAAAAGAGCACCCTGGGTGGGGTTCTACTCTGTGGTTCAGTGCATCAGGCGTTTGATGGGCCAGCATCTCTATTGTTCAGCTGCCGATGCTGACGTGGGGAGGGAAAGGCTGTGGTGATGGCTCCACCCTCTACATGTGACTTAGCAGTATCACCTTGCTTCCATGGCTGCTTGGCTTTCCTCCACTGGCATTTCCCACCACAATGTCCTCCCTCACATCCCCTCAATCTGTCTCTCTGCAGTCAACAGCAGCCCTCGCCCTGGGATTGCTCCACAATCCCTCAACTCCAGGTCCCAGCTGCTGCGCCTTCCAGGAGACCCATGTTCCCGTCTGGGGTATGCGTGGCTGCAACTCTGATTCTCATCCCATTTAGGCTGCCACAGATCAGCTGTCTCACTCTCAGCCTTAAATGTTCCTCCCCTGACTCAGACAATTGCCCTGATGTGGGATCGGACCCCTGCTTCAGTTCCCCCATCCACCGAAGGCAGGTCCAGTTCTACTAACACTCCTGTTTTTCCCCCCTAGTTCCTTCATCCTACCAAGTTTTCTGTGGTTCTATACATTCTTTTCCACTGGTCAGGAACTCCTGTCCACTCTCAGCGGGTGTTATGCATGCAGTTCTGTGTCTGAAGGTGTATTCCTGATGTATCCGTGGAGAGAGATGTACTCCACGTCCACCTACTCCTCCGCCATCTTGTTCCTCCAAACTATTTTATATATATATATAATGTGTATTAGTTTCTGAATCACCAGAAACTAATACACATTGTAAATCAATTCTATGTCAATAAAGTAAATTAAAAAAAGAAAACCTGTGAAAGCTTGGGCAAGTCATCTAAATAAGTATAGGTTGCCTATAAAATAGGACTCAATAATATTTTTTTAAAATGTGTTGGGAGTTGTGAATTTCAAATACAATAAAATTATTTGAATCCTTTAAAAGACCCACCTCCCAGAATATTGGAAATAAAAGCAAAAATAAACAAATGGGACCTAATTCTGCACAACAAAGGAAACTATAAGCAAGGTGAAAAGACAGCCCTCAGAATGGGAGAAAACATTAGCAAAGGAAGTAACAGACAAAGGATTAATCTCAAAAATATACAAGCAACTCCTGCAGCTCAATTCCAGAAAAATAAATGACCCAATCAAAAAATGGGCCAAAGATCTAAACAGACATTTCTCCAAAGAAGACATACAGATGGCTAACAAACACATGAAAAGATGCTCAACATCACTCATTATCAGAGAAATGCAAATCAAAACCTCAGTGAGGTACCATTACACACCACTCAGAATGGCTATTATCCAAAAGTCTACAAGCAATAAATGCTGGAGAAGGTGTGGAGAAAAGGGAACCCTCTTACACTGTTGGTGGGAATGCAAACTAGTACAGCCACTACGGAGAAGTGTGGAGATTCCTTAAAAAACTGGAAATAGAACTGCCATATGACCCAGCAATCCCACTCCTGGGTATACACACCGAGGAAACTAGATCTGAAAGAGACACGTGCACCCCAATGTTCATTGCAGCACTGTTTATAATAGCCAGGACAGGGAAGCAACCTAGATGCCCATCAGCAGATGAATGGATAAGGAAGCTATGGTACATATACACAATAGAATATTACTCAGCCATTAAAAAGAATTCATTTGAATCAGTTCTAATGAGATGGATGAAACTGGAGCCCATTATACAGAGTGAAGTAAGCCAGAAAGATAAAGACCAATACAGTATACTAACACATATATATGGAATTTTAAAAGATGGTAATGATAACCCTATATGCAAAACAGAAAAAGAGACACAGATGTACAGAACAGACTTTTGGACTCTGTGGTAGAAGGTGAGGGTGGGATGTTCTGAGAGAACAGCACTGAAACAAGTATACTATCAAGGGTGAAAGAGATCACCAGCCCAGGTTGGATGCATGAGACAAGCGCTCAGGGCTGGTGCACTGGGAAGACCCAGAGGGATGGGATGGAGAGGGAGGTGGGAGAGGGGATCGGGATGGGGAATACATGTAAATCCATGGCTGATTCATGTCAATGTATGGCAAAAACCACTACAATATTGTAAAGTAATTAGCCTCCAACTAATAAAAATAAATGGAAAAACAAAAAGAAAAGAATGAACTCCCCACTTGGATGCTACCTCAAGAGACTGAATAAAAAAGTCTAATTCTTTGGGTTGTTCTTTGGTTGGCAGACTGTTGTTTTGCACTGTCTCCACACCATGAAGGGTCAGTGGCTGCAGGCCTTCTCCAAGGATGACCCACGCCTGTGTGGGAGGGGCCGTGAGCCACCTGAGGGCAGGACGAGGGCCTGTTAAGCTTCTATTTG